ATATACCATGTAAGAACTGTGTGTTCTCAGGCACCCAATCCGCATACCCCTATAGGCTTCTGCCTCTTCTTTATCATGTCTGTCTCTGTTGTTAGTATTCCAAAGAGCACAAGGAAAGACAGGATCCCAAGTGTAACTGCCTAGAAGATGAAGTAAATTGGAGCCCAGGGAAATGAGTTTCTCAACTAATGCTTGGTCAAATCAGAAAGAAAATTAGTCTAGATGCTAATGATGATGTGTGCACAGCTTACCACATGGGTTGTGATCAGCCCTAACTGAGCTGAGAGAGAGGCAGGAGCTATTAACAACTTGAAAGCCAAACTTGGAAAACTGCAGCCCACAAACTCAGCCAAATGATTGACAATTTATTACTCTGCTAAGTCATTTATGCATCCAAGTTAATTTTGTATTAATTGCTGAAACTAAGAAGATATATTTTTATCAGGTTAGAATTACATAAGTGAATTCTTAACATTCCCCCCACCAGTTCATGAATCTCTTAGCTCAATTTTTTTTTCCTTTGTGCATACCACACAATTGTAGAACACAGTTTCAAGCATGGCATCTTTTGCACACACGGTATGTGCTACATTTGAAGATCTTGTTTTTTACCTTTGGCCCAAACAGGCAAAAGGTAAACACACCCCAACCCAAAGTTTTATATATAAAGTCCCATTCTCACTGTTCTTGTAACCCCTTGCTCCCTGCCCTACCAGTAATACTAACAGCAGCTCTGGGGTCACATACTTGACTCACAGCAGACTTGTATTATTTCCTTAATTTTTTTCTTTTTTTTCCAGTGAAATTTGAATCCAAATGCCAACATTCAAAACAGAGGGTGGAAGCTGTAAGTCTTCCTATTTTTTAAATACATTTATTTATTTCACAACCTGGCCACAGTCTCCTCTCCTACCTCTCCTCCCAGTACCCCCCACTTCTGTTCCTACCCTTCCACCCTCCCAATCCACTCCCCCTCCATTTCTGTTCAGGAACCAGTGGGTTTCCCATGCGTATCAAGAAAACATGGCATATCAAGTTGCAGTAAGACTAAGTAAGCACTTCCCCATGCATTAAGAATAGGCAAGGATCTTCCTTTCACTTAATTCTCAAATAAGCCTGTGAGTTATTTGCTAGTGTACCTTTATTTTAAGTGACCCTCGGAAAGCTATATGAATGTGCTGGAGCTCACTCTCCAAGCAGCATTAATTCAATCATTTTTTATCATGCTACCCTGAGAATCTGGAAAACCAAAACAAGCAACTAACTGAAGTTCTCTGTCCCATATGGGGCCTATCCTCTCACCCAGGAAGATTTGACTGCATGAAAATGCTATAATCTCTGCTAGATGCTGTGATGGTTTCCACTAGGGCTCACATGCTTTCTCTGACATGAAATCTATTTTCAATACATTTAAAATTTCAATTCTTTTTCTGAATGATTCTTCAACAGCTAAATTTATATATTAAAAAAATCAGGGATGGGGACATGACACAGTCAGTGCAAAGCTCAAGTGTCCTACTTAGTTCAGTCCCCAGAATGCAATGCAAAAAGGCAGTGCAGCTCTGGTAGCTGTCATTTCTCTAATTCATAATTGTAGTATGATTAAATCCCCATGTTAGAGAGGCATAAACAGTGGATAGTGGAGCTTACAAGCCAGCTAGTCTTTCTGAACTGATAAAATCTAGGTTTAGTGAGAGATCCTGTCTCAAAAATAGAAGGTAGAAAGAAGCAGAGGAAGACACTCAACATCAAATTTAGGCCTTTACAATCACAATCTCCTGTCTGCATATGAGCAAGTGTACACACACACACACACACACACACACACACACACACACACACACACCATGTAAATGTCCTGTGCTAACAGTTTGCAACAACCAACACTCTCAAGATGTTTTATAAGCTCACATGTTCAGTACAGTTTGTTCAATTATTTATTTCTTTAACATGTATCACAAGGTACAGCTATGCTGATTCTGCATTTTGTTTGTAAGGGCAAAAGCACTCAAGGTTGTCGTGCACCTTTGTTTCCTAATTAAAGAGTGTCAAATATACACATTGATTTTCTTTGACTGGTTTTGACAAAAATCTGAACACTTTGTTGTGCTCATCCTAGGGGAATTTCAATTATAGTCACTCCTGGTATCATTTCCAAAGCTGGGACAGGTAAGTTTTTATGACATTTGATCTTACCATTTTAGTTGTACCAGAGTGGGACTATTCTAGTTGAATGAGGGATCAGTGCTGAATGCCAGAGCACAGCTGCTCCCTTCTGTGGTCTTGCCATGAACCTAAGCACTACTTGAGAATTAAAAAAAAAATGTTTTCTACCAAGATCCAAATTTTTTCCTATTTTCTTTCTCAGCATTCTCCAAGACACATAGAACCATCTACTGACATTTCTTACACAATGGAAAGAATGCTGGGAAGGCAAGTAGGTATCAGGTGAAGTGACTCAACTCTTCCCAGGTTTTTTCATGCTCTCTTTAAGGAAGAAAGTGTAGGACTCAGTGTCTGCTTGGGAGTATTATTGGAAGAAAATTGGCAAATAAATATCTTAAATAGTCTCGTTAGACCTAGTTCCCAAAAGACTTTTTATTTTCATTAGCCATATGTTATAAAAAATACCATCCACATGTTACCTTGTTCAACTTCCTGATAATGCAAAGCTTATGAAACTGCTCATATAGCAGGGACTGGCTTTACCCCTATTGCTTTCCAGATGTTCTCCTCCTGGCAGCCCGCATAGCTTCACTGTCATTGTCACAGTCAGCCACCTAACGTTTGGGAGCCCACTGCTTATATTCACTTCACAGACTCAGATGCCGCTATTCTTACATTCTACTCTCTCTGGCCTCCTTTCTGAGGTCATGTCCTTGCTGTGTTTTGATGGTGTTTCACACTCTTCACCCTCCACCTCCCTTTCCTTAAACAAGTGTCTCTTGCTTCTGATTTGGTCTCTCTTTATCAAAACCATCCTTCTTATGCTTAACCCAAAAAGCTGTCCCCTTGCTAATACTTACTAAAACAGGTATAATTCCTACATGTTTTCATCCAGTGCTTTTAATGAGATTTTACAGAGCTCATGTTTCCTGATAACCCCAGGTAATTCTGGGGAACTGGGCCATAGCCTATATCATGAGCATCACTGCCCTGGTGCCTGTCCTTTTTCTAAATCACTTGTTAATATTTATTTAAATCAAGCCTTGTTTGGTTACAAGGGATGGAAACACTCAGAGCTGTTCAAACACAAAGAGGCTTTAATGAGAAGAGGGGCAAAGTGGAAAAGAATCTGAAGGCTGCTTGAGATTCAGGTAGCTATCAAAAGGCTCTTCTATTTGCTCTTTCTAAAGTTCTATAAGCTCTTGCTTACTTTATCCTTTAGGGTAACACAGGGTTGTATCTGTTCCCTCTCACCATATCAGCTCTGAGTGGCATGCCTGGAGTGTTAGCTTGCAAATATGAAGTAAGTTGTGAATCTGACACTGTACCTCAGTGGGTATATTGTCTATTCTGCTTACTTAAGTATGTCACATAAGAACCCCACTGATTGTGATAGACATTTTATAGATCACTTGTTGAGGATCAAGTGACCACCCTGGGACACAAACCTGTGGTTGGACTGAAAAGTAGAAGGGGAAACTGCTGTGTGGAGTTCACATGTCCACCACACAAGCCTGTCCAAGATGCCTGGGTGTTCAAAGAAGTAGTGTGCTTGTTGTTTTGTTTTGTTGTCAACTTGACTGAAGCTAGAGTTGTCAGAGAAAAGGAACTTCAATTGAGAAAATACCTCTACCAGATTGCCATAGGCAAGTCTGTAGGTCATTTTCTCTAATAATGATTGACAGGGGAGGGTCAAAACCACTGTGGGAGATGCCATCCCTTCTTTAGGTGGTTGTGAATTATGTAAGAAAGCAAGCTGACCAAGCAATGAGAAGCAAGCCAGTAAGTGGCATTCTTCCATGGCTTATGGTTTAGTTACTGCTTCCTGGTTCCTGTCCTGACTTCCATCAGTGATGGAGTATGGACAGAGAGTTATAAGGTGAAATGAACACTTTCTTCCATAAGTTGCTTTGGGACCTAGTGTTTTATCACAGCAATAGAAATCCTAAGTAAGACAGGGAGGTTCCTAAGAAAATAGATGTGGGTGAAGCTGAAATCGTAACTATCATCCCAATAATTTTGTTGTTAAATAAATCTTAATATTGGTTTTATCGTTTTTCTGGTTCTTAGCTCCACTGCTCTTTACCAAATATTAGATCGTTTTATGATTCAGCACCATGTGTGACAAAGCTCTCCTAGGCCATCCTGATGTCCCCTTTCTCCAATGGATCCCCTTTAGTGATGCCTACAACATTCATTCTCAGTGGGGAGTGTTTAGACTGCTTCCATGTTTATTTATTTTCCCTTTAATTTCCTGGTTAAGCTTTTCTATCCTTGTGTACCCTATCCAAGTGGCATGGCCTTTTTTACTCGAACATTTGTTGTCTTGCTGACTTATTTTGACTTTCATTTTATTTGGTCTTAAGATAGCCTCTCTTTAAATATTTCTTTTTATTTCAACAAATACAGAGATCACTGAAAGTGAGAGTTATATCCCAGACAGCTAACTATGCTGGAGACTAGAAGAGTATCACAATGTAACAAAAACACCAAGGGGGGGGGAGAAAAAAAAGAACACCAAGGAAATAGGCAAAAAACCCAGGGAATATGTTTTTAAGATGACATATACTTGGTACTGTACTTCTATCTCATTCTTATTATTTTAGAGAGTCCACATAGAAGATTTGGATTACATGAATTTCCTTCATATTTATTTTATGAGTCTTCTCCACCCAACTGGTTATTTTCATCTACCTGGCTGAGTTAAATAATTAGATGGAACAATGTGCCTTCCACTAAAGAAATAATTTGTCTAAGATGTTGATGTTAAGATGAATTTCAAATGAAACACAATGTAGTGACATGCAAACAAGTATTAATTCTAAAGCATTTACCTCATAGCCAAGTAAATGTCCATTGCTCAACTTCCAGGGAATTGTGTTCCACGAAACTTCAATTTCTGAGGAAGACAGGCTTTGGGCAGAGATGCGGGATGGGGCTACTGTAGGTTCTATTCAGAAACAGAAATTGGAATACAATGATAATGTTTGCCATTAAATTGAAAAATCTTCTGAAATCCTAAATTAAAAAAATTCAATTTAAGTTTTTGAGACAGTATTGGCATATGGTCCTAGGTGTCTGGCATTTTTCATGTAGTCTATGCTAGCCTAAAACTCTCAAAAATCATCCCACCTTTATTCCAGGGGACTGCAATTATAGGAATGTACCATTATATGAGGTAAAAAAAATCTTTAAAAAGCAATAATAAAAATGTTGATCAGGTGAAGAGCTTATAGTATTCTGTAAAAACATTTAAAACCATTTGACATATTCTAAAAATATAGATCCTATTCTTCTGCTTAGGAAAGGATGACTTCATAGTCAATAGATTTTCATTGCCTAATTGCCTTAGCAACCTATATTTCACCCCTAGCAGTTATTTCTTAGTGTCTTCCTTTCCTCAATCTGCCCTTTTGTTCTCTCCATCCTGTCTTTGTTTCCCTCTGCTTCATCCCACACCAGGAACTTCTGTACCTACAAATGCTACTGACATTTTATCATGTCACACAAAGGCCAAGGTCAAGTCAATGTCAATGACTCATAAGCACTGAGTGAGTGTCAATTTTAGTCTAGGTACAAAGGAAGCAGAGATTTAAATGGGATAGATGGCAAATGCTGTCCACAGAGTGAGCAGACTTGTCCATGTTGTCACACAGAAAATCCTCTTTGTAACAAATAGTCCAGGGTTTTATGGGATTCACAGAGATTGGCTTTTCTCAGAATACTGGTTCTTAGCCTCTTCCACATCTATTTCTGCAATAAATGGTTCTGACCGTAAGCCATGGCTACATGAGGCTGAAATAGAATCGGGGTTTAAGGATGGACACAGTGGCTCACTATCCAGAGACTCCCAGGATTGGGAAGAGACACAGCAGTGCTTAGAACCAACCAATTCAGTTCTGGCAGTCTAGAGCACCAGATCATTTTTCTGAGCTCCTTGGAATGTGGTTCTTTGTGAAGCTCACTAATTAGATTTTACTTTGACTCACTGAGGTGCTGTAACATATTTCTAGCATGTACCATTTTGCAAATGGTACAGTAACAGTGACAGCAGAAGGGAAGTAAGCAAGACAAGAATGTGCAGAAAGCTGTGAATGTCTTTTCCTTTCACCACCAATACTCAGGTGTTAGGTGCATGGGAGGAAGTATCTGAAGACTTCCTTGTTCATCACTTCCTAATCATGGTCTTCCCTTATAAGTCTGGCAGTTTCTGGAAAATGAGTCTGCTATAAACATTAGGATCTTTCTTTTGAAAAGATATTTACAACAATTTTTATCCCCCCCATTAATACAAAATGAAAATATAAGACTATAGGTGGGGAATCTTAGTGAAACTGACAATAGTTATTATTGGAATTACTAACTTTGAATCATGTTTTATAATTTCTTACCAGATCTGAGAGGTGGGGTAGACAACATGAGCTATGATAGCTCATAAGTCCAGAATGGTTAAGGTCAAAGTTTCCTGGGTGAAATTGGTTTTTCGTTTTACTAAATATATTTTAGCAAATTCATTTACATCTTTCATCAATCTTCCATTTTCTCATTTCTAAATGGAAACTAGTAATTGAACCTATCCTTCAATCTTTACCTGACAATTCAAAATGACAATGCCTGGTAGATGTTGAGTACTTTATACAAAGTGGTATGGATAGAACTTGATAACAGGGCTAACATTCAGTTATCAATACCTCAAAGGGCAAGTTTACTTGATTCTCCTAACTTCATTATCATTTTTTCAAGAGGGCTTGAAAGAAAATATTATGCCTCAATTTCTGGAAGAAAGCCAGAATGACTGTGCACGTTCTGAGTGAAGTATGCAAGTGTTGACAACAGTTAGGGTCATCCTTCAAAGATATATACTCTATACCTCTTAAATGTCAAACTCCTGCTTCTTATTATCTGCTATGTTTCTGTCCTTTGCTGAGGCCATAGGAAATATTGTTTATAGCTCTGTGCCAGGGTAGCTTTAAGTGTTGCTTAATTTTTTCATTCATTTATTTAGTTCATAAATAAAGTCATGCACAATTATGATACAGAATACAGTATGTTCACAATGGCATGGCTAAATTAAACCAATTAACATTTTATATCACATATATTCATCATTTTTGTTTTGAGAACACTTAAAGTATACTATCTCACAACTTTTAAAATATAGCATATTGTTACCAACCATATTTATCATGCTCTCAGTAGACCTCAAGACTTCAGAGAGTCCATGCCTCTTGTCCAACTGCAGTTTTATATCCTTAAACCAATCATTTCCCCATTGTTAAAAGTCCCACATTAAAGCCTAATAGCCACAATTCTGCTCTCTGTTCCCATAAGTTCATCATTTCTAGGTTAATTTTTACAGCAAGAAGAAAAATGAACTTTGTGAGGTGACAATATGTTAATGTTCACCAATACATTGATTAGATTGGAACTAAAGTGTGTGTATTTTCCAATTTTTCATACCTTCCTCCGCAGAGAACACTGTTGTCACTGGGCTAAATGGCCCTTCACCTTTGTTATTGTAAACACCCACTTTAACTTCATATGGTGAAAAAGGCACAATGCTTTCATTCCTAAAGACGTATCTTGGGTTATCTGGGGATGTCACCACTGTTTGGATCCAGGTGGTAACCCCAAGTGGGCGGAAAGCCACCACATATCCAAAACCTCCACCATTCTGTAGTTCTTCAGGGACTGGCTACAAAGAAAAGACATATTAAATTATCCACACTTACAAGGCCAGGGCAAAAAATGATTGAGACATCATTTGTGGACTTGAACATCATTAAGTAATGATCTATATGGAATTAATCAGATGTATTTTCAAAATGAGAAAATCACCCATGAGACTGTCAGATGAGCTGTTTTTAAACAGACATATGCCCTTCATTCATAGGCATCCAGATAATGAACTTGCCTTTTCCTTGCTTATTCAGATATCAGAATATCACATGGTCCAAATTTGAGTTTCTAATAACTTAAACTTTCATTCAAGAACACCTGTTATTTTAAGACAAATAAAAGCAATCAAATACCTAACTGTTAATTTTATAGAAAAGTTCATACCTGGATATTATGACTTAGTACAAAAAAATTAAAGAGTAAGAGGAGGTGAATACAATCACTAAATTCAAAGCTGTGTGTGATTAAGTAAAAATTCTCTTATATTCCACCCCTGAATGTTGACTATTTATTAATCAACATCTGCCAATTACACAGAGAATTTAGTCTGATTGACTTTTAAATGTTAACTTCATTGTTATCATATTTCCTAATTGTGACATAAACTAATGCTAAGAGAGTAGCTAGGAAGAAGTTAGACACACAACCACACCATGGTCTGTGTGATATCTGTGGGGCACACCGGGCTGCAGAGAAAATTATGAGTGAACAAGAGTCAACTGTTAGGGCCTGATTCTCAGTACTGCATTTAAGAATCCCCTTGCCTTCCTATTTTCACTGATACCAAATTGTAAGTATGGAATGAAAATATTATGTGCAAATGAGAGGAAAAGTGGTCAGCACATAATGCAGCTGGGTCAGGAACAGTACTGAAGGCATCAGTGCTACTAGGACCAATACCACCACTACTAGCTCTGGACCGGCTCCAGGAGTGTCTCAGTTACAAGCACCACTACAATCACCACCATCAACACCAAAATTAGCAGCACAACTCCCTGAGGGCATTCCACCAACATCAGCAGCAGCATTGTCATAGGTGCTGGGAATGCTAGTTCCACAGGTATCATCACCAGGGTTGGTACCACAAGAATCACTACTAACATCACCACCCAGAATACTACTACCAGAAGTACCATTACTGGGACCACTAATTTAATCAGCATTGCCACTGGGAGAACTGATATCCCTAGCACTATATCACAACCTCTACTACCATCAGTGCTGTTATAGTGCCACTAGCACCACTACCAGCCCAGAAATACCAATGCTGTCTGTGTTACCAGTAACCGAATCAATGTGACCAACATCATTGCAAGAGCTACCAGAAGCATCATCACTAGTACCTAGCACAATTGTCAGCATGGCCAGCAGGACCATCAGAAATACTATTATTGCCATCATCAATATCATCACCAGCACCATCAGCACTATCACCACAGCTACCACCAGTACAACCAGTGCTATGGACATTACCAGAACCAATAACACCAACAGCACTGCCACTATCAACATCAGCACCAGTATCACCAAAATCGCTAAAATCTATAGGACCACCAGTCTCAACAATATCACTAATACTATGACTGTCACAGACACTATGAATGATCAGCACACTCTGAACCATCAGTGCCATTCCCAGCATCAGTGGCATCACTGCGTTCTTGTACAGTTACTAGCACCAGACCCAACAATACCTCAAACACTAGCACCATTAGTGCCATCAGCAGCAGCAACAGTAACCCTAAGATCAACAGCTCCATTCTGTTGAAAGTGCAAACATTATTACTACCACTAGCACAAGAACACCAAAATTAGCAACAGCACTCATCTCTTCACCATCAGCATTACTTAGCAGTACTACTGCTGACATTAATACCAACAGAAAGAATGTTACCCACACCAACACCAATACCAGCATCAGTGCTACAAGTATTTACACATTACCACTACTAGCAAAAGCACCACTGTTACCACCATGACCGTCTCTGCCATGACCACCACCACTACCGCAACCACCATCACCACCATCAACATCAGTAGAACACACCACAAGAGGTTTTGATAACTGGATGCAAAGCAATACCCTACTTTGAAAGATGTTGTTCAAACACTTACATCCCAGGTTATTACTAGTTCAGATCGGCTTCCACCTCCTCCGCTGACCTCAGAAGGTGCCACTTCTGGAGCTGTGTGAGTCAGAGACACAGAAACAAAACCCCATTTTTATACAGTAATATTTGAAAGGAGACACATTTACACATTCAAGATATCATCAAGAGTTTTATCCTTGACATACTGTAAACCATTATACACATGCACATGTATATGTACATTTCTATATCTCATTAGTAAGATCATCAAACTTATTTATATTCACATGTGTTTATGAAACATTTTGGCAAAGTCATCAGATTATTTTATTTACATGAAATCATAAATGATTCAGAAATCCCTGAACATTAAGCAAAATTATAACCCAAGTGAAGGCTACTCTGCCACTAAGGTAACAGAAAAAAAATGAGGAAAAGTGATTTCCCAAGATTGACAGGGAATCAGTTTATCATGGACCCTTCTAGACTGAGAAGGAAGTCTCATCATGGCACAGGCTCTTGGTAAGAGTGACACAGACTGGAACTCTCTAGTCCTGCTAGGAAGTTTACTTGATAAAACTCACATATGTATCAACTTTCTCACTCATGCTGAGAGAATTTTGGTTTGTGAATCCTAAGATAAAAGTAGAATATAAATTTCGCTGGGGGGGGCTTTGTAATATGCCCTGCTGTGTTATCTGGATGCATGTTGAAGGACCCTAAATACACATTGTATGAACAAATGAAGATGACAGTCAGAACACATGCTTCCAGTTTCCCACATTACCTGGAACAAACATGGGGTACACTGTTCTGAGGAAAAGAGCAAACATATTACATCCACCTTCAGCTTAGTGCTTAAAGTGATACATTTGCTTTATCTCATGACTCCTTTTAATTAATATTGCTGATTCTGGAAAGGGAAGTCTTAATGTCCCCTGGAGTGCTACTCTAAAGGAATGGTAGGTTTATCTGCTAACTTAGAGTTTTAGTGGAAGCATATTTTTAGAATTATGAAGGTATCTTTGTGACCTATGCTCATACTTGCCTCATATAAATTTTTAAAGTGATGCTTTCTTAATCCTAACACTTACAGAATCATAACACACTACTCATCAGTTGCCTGTGTGCATTTGGAGTGTTGTGGCACACTGACTTTTCTCAGCAGCATAGCTCCCAGTGGTAATATCAGACCAATTTGTCAGTGCTTCTTATAAATGAAAACAATGTTCCCCCTGCTAATGGGTAACTATGGCAGATAGTAATTATAATCATAAGTGACAAAAACATATTCACTCAACACACACTAATGATCATCTGGTACTGATGAACTCTTAAAATGCCACACAGCATCAGAATCACTTACATGTTTCTTTTGATAAATGCCATGTGGCAAAGTCTGCTATTAGAAAGGTCATATCATTGTGACAATGGGTTATTAAGACAGATCTCTTGGTGGCTGGGAGACCAAAGCAAATGGAAATATACACCTAGGTAATTCTATTAACCCATTACTAAGAAAACAAAAGCACTGACCTGCCTCTTCAGTCCTTACTTTTTCTGAGGGTAAACTGGGTTCTCCGCCTCCGATTTTGTTACTGGCTACTACCCGAAATTCATATTCCACCCATGGGTTTAACTCCACAACAGTAGCTGTACGTGTCTTGCCATCAATGACTTCAGGAACTATAAAGGAACAGTTCAGAAGGTAAGAGCCTGCCTGTGCCAATGCCCAATTGGTTTGCATTTTTCCAAGTTGCTGCCCTCTGTTTTGCCCATCTACTTTACCTGTTGTAACAGTTTGCCAGCCCACGGAGAAAGGTGTCCTAGCCTGTACTGCATAGGATATAACTGGGCTGTGACTGTCTGTACCTTCTGTCCAAGAGAGTTGAGCTGTTGTGTCTGTAATTTCATCTACCTTCACATTTTCTGGTGGTCCAGGTGAACCTAAAGGAGACAAGAATGCAAAAGCATCCCATAAAAGTCATCCTCTCCTACCAAAGTGAAGAGGCTCACATCATCACTCTAATACCTCCAACTGATACCACTTTCAAAAGCACTTAAGGGAAGAGGCCATTTAACTGGCAATAAAACTACCACTTTTTCCACATTTCCATTGTTAGCTTCAAGATCTGGATAGGAAGCCATGATTCATAATACCATGTATTCAACAATATCCCAGTATGTTTCTAAATTCAGCATCTTCTGTACCTTTCCAAATTCAGCATCCTTTGTTTGGGGTGGGATGCCCTTCTGTGAAACACAGCGTGGCTTGCTACCTGAATATGTTTTCTTATTCTGTGATATGCTTTGGACATTTCTTTTTCAGCCTAGCAGTGAAACAGTACCCTGGATGGTAACCCAGGTTGGTAAATTTTCTCACTGCTCTGGATAATACCTATTCTTTTGGAAGCAGGCATGCATGTACCACACACATTCTCTTCCCTATTAAATACATTTGCTGAAATGCTCACAAACTGATTGGCTTGGCAGAAGCTGTGCAATGCCAATTACAACAAGAATTATTTGAAAGGCACAGTTGAGGTTGTCATTTCTTTGAATTAACACATTCTTACTGTCACATCTTCTGGCTTATGGGTGTCAGGGATAACCTCGATAGTATGCCTTGCATTTTTGTATGCTATCTCACCATGGCTTTCCTCTAGTGAGAAATGCTTATAGAAAGCAATAAGTTTGGCAACATAGGTAGTGTTACTGCTTACCTCTCACTATGAGCTCAGCTGCCGAAGAAACACTGTCCACCCCGGTCTGCACCATACATACATACTTCCCACTGTGTTTCAGTTGAATGTTTCTGATCATTAAATCACCAGATGAACTCTGTTGGGGAAACAGGTAATGAAACATTATTATATTTAAAAACACAAAGGATCTTAAAGGCAAGGCAATCCATGGTTAGAGAAAACAATGTGGTTTTCAGGAGACTGAAATCAGAGGATGCCTGGAAACTAAGACAAGTCCAAAACCATGCATGATGGAATACAAATTTCTATATGCATATAAAACATTTCTCTGGGTATTTATGGCTTCAAAAAGAAACGAGGGCAGAGATTATAGTCTCAGATTCTATTTACTTCCAACAGGCAACACTTCTTTTTATATCCACTGCTTAGCACCAGCTCAGTTCTCTCTGGTTGCAACCTCACTGCAATTATCTGCCTGAGAAGAGGAGGAAGCATTTGGGTACCTAGTGGGAGATAAATACAGCATGGCAGGGGGGATTACCACTGCTGAAACATTTTCCTCTTTTCTCAACACATTGGAGCTTAAAAGACTAAAGTCATCTAATTCCTAAAAAAAGCTACAGAATTTAGAGCAAGGAAATATGAACCCTCTCCAAAAAAATGAAATTAGAGCACTTTAAACCCCATAAATAATAGCTATGCAGAAGACATTTGGTGGCATCCCCTGATACCAATTAAAGGAACAAATGTGTATCTAAATGCTCAACTTTAAAGGGTCCTCATTTAAAGAGACTATAAATTCACATTCATAAAATGACTAACTGCAGGTCAGTTTCCCACATTAGTGAAAATATAGACTGAAATAAGAGCATCTGGGAAGAGAAGCCCTTTGAACATGATCTTCACTTCACATCCAACCTCAGAGAAGAAGAGGCAGTGCTTATCGCGGTAATTAAAAGCAGTTTTACTTGTGCATGTGCCTAGAATGCGTGGCAAGAGGGACTGAACTGTTCTAATTTTAGATAGTTCCCTAAAATCCTGTTCAGGCTAATATCTTCCATATTGCTCTCCATCCTGAGGGTTGCTAATGGGCTGTGTATTCTCCACTGGTTGGGCCGTATGGCTTTACATGGAATTTCTAGGGTACTAGGAGAAGCGGCTGTGAGGTGATTGATGGCTATAATTAAATGATAATCCAGAAAGTGTTCAGTTTGCACATTTCTACTTTCCAGGAGTTGAGCTTTTTTTTTTTTCTCCTTTCCCTCCTCCCTTTCTTTCTCCTCAGGGTTATTTAGAAATGTTTCACCAGGAGATAACTATCCCTGCTTGCTGACCTTTCCAAACTCTGGTTTTATGTGCTCTGCATACTCCAAGGAGGGTGCTTATCATTTCCATAGAAATCTCCTCTATTTCTTGAAGCCCTGTGACTAGTAAATGCCACCAAGGCACTGGGTGAGGCCTTTATTCTTCTCTGTTCTTTCTTCCTTATTTTAAAACAGTTAGGCTAGAGAGAATTTAGTTGGACTTTTCTTATCGGCTGTGTTATCTGGATCACCTTTTGGGTGGTCTGACTGTTTTTGGCTGTAGAAAGAGTAAAGAAGAGATTGGGATCTTGGTGTTGGGAACCTGGACTTCAGATGACTTTTGGTACTGAAAACTAGAGAAAAAGAAATAGCTAATCTTGAGCATAAAACAAAACTGAACAACAACAAAAATATTTTCCCTCAAGAAACGCAGCCAGGTTCACCTGAAGAGGATATATAATAAAAAAAAATCAAATCATGTTTTTAACAATTCCTTTATTTTTAGTTTATGTATGTTTGAGCCTTTGGTGTAGTTATATGTAAGTGCACATCATGTATTGTCCATGTGGGCCATAAAAGGGTACTGGATCTGGAACTGGAGTTATACAAGGTTGTGAGCTGCCACATGGGTGCTGCTGAAAACTGAATTGGGCTGCCTTGCAAGAACACCAAGTTCTTTAGCTCCTGAGCCATCACTCCAGTCCCTAAAACTATTAATCATGTTCTTGAGAATAGAACCAAAGATGCAACTAAGATGTGTAGACAATGGGAGCCATTGATTGTTTTTCTCCTGGTCAACATAGAACACACAGAGGAATATATAACTGCCAAAGAAAATTTTGCAAAAGTTAAGAGGGAGCCTCATCTTAGTTTCATCTATTTCAATAAAGTCTATTTGTACTGTTTCTTGTAGGGGAAGCTGTAGCCAGCCCCTAAGAAGGCGTGGCTACAGCTTCCCCTACAGTTTCTTTTTCCAGGGCTTTGTCTCCCACAAGTGTGTTGCTATTGAGCAGATCTCCAGAAATAAGTGACATTCTCCTTAACAAAGCCATACACAATTCTTCTTCCTTCAGGCGTCTAAGAACAGATTCCTGTGTAACACAGTCTCAGCTGAATGGACATTACTCAAGAAACAGTCACAAGGTAGGACCATGTGGAACAAGCTGTGTTTATGAATTAGAATGTACGGTACAGGTGAAATAAAATCATATAGCCACATATCACTTACAGACAAATACAAATGAAAGAGACACTTTCAAGACCTATCACAAATAAGGAATTACAGCTATTGCTTTGGGGACAAGAAATCTTCACAGCTCCTTCTTGAGTCACTTGAAATATCAACTAATGCAGGGTTATATGTACAGTCCATTTCCCATTAATTCTGTTCCTTATTCTATGGCCCAAGAAATGCATGTGTGTATTCACCAAAGGAAATGCATAGGGAAAACAAAGATATATAGTGTTGTAGATGACTTACTTAATGAAATAACACCTGGTCATAAATAAATAAATAGATTCATGTGGTTGAATCTAAGAAACATAAAAGTTAGATACAAGATGTAACTTTTATCACATGAGAGATCTAGATAATGGTTACCTTTGTGGTACAACTGCCTTTTGCTTTTGTTGTTAAATTTTCTGGCACGAGGAGTAGAATGTGGGGCCTCATGTGTGCTCAGCATGAACTTCCCCACAAAACTGTATCCATAATTGGTTAGTTTGTTTATTTATAAACAAGATCCTCATACATCTCACAGACTGGCCTGGAATTTGTAATCCTTCTAGCTCAGCTTCTGAAACAGCTGAGAGTGTAGGCCCCTTCTACCAGTGTCAGTAAAAAGTAGAATGAAGGATTATGGGAAAAATCTGCATGAATACCATGTTCTGTTGCTTGAGTTCAGTACTGGTTATAGGAGAGAGTTTATTTGTGGCAGGTAATTGGATTTCACACTTTGGAAGAGAAATAATGGCTGTCAAAAGATAATTAAGATTATGTACAATTATACTTCTAAGTGCTTGGCATTCGGTGAAACCATAAGCCAATGTATTCACATAATAAGACTGTAGTTCCTAACTCAAATTTCCTCATAAGATGTGATACTTAACAAGCAAAATTCAGATTATGGTACTATTCACATGTCCTAAGATTTCTTATTAAGATGTAATTACTTCCAGATATGCCAAAATTGCAAAAGAAATTCAGTAAGGAAGACGTACATATATCAAAGTGAGCCTCCTTTCTTCTATCAGTTGGACTCCCTTAGAGAACATAGTTATTGGTTTACTGTGATGGAAGGAATCATATATGAATGTCCAGAAAATCCTAAGTAAATTAGTCAAAATTCAACGAGGTCAAACTTCATAGACTATTTTTAAGTATATTTATCAAACACTGTACAATATCAGAATATATTTAGATCCATATTGGTTATTTTCCAGGGAATGCATGTTCAACTGGTAGTGTGTAAGCAGCTTGCAGCACAGTCCAGCAGTGAATGCAACTCAACACAAACTCACAAATTTAAGCCATTACAAAATTGTTTATGCTTTTTTGTAACTTGATCATGTGTTTCTTAAGAGTATACTACAAATGACTATTAATTATGTTTCAATCCTGCTGGGCGTTTGTGGCTCACACCTTTAATCCCAGCACTCGGGAGGCAGAGGCAAGCAGATATCTGTGAGTTCAAGGCCAGTCTGGTCTTCAGAGCGAGTGCCAGGATAGGCTCTAAAGCTACACAGAGAAACCCTGTCTCGAAAAACCAAAAAATTATGTTTTAATCCATCGGTGTAGACTATAGATTTTTTAATATTATTTAGCAGACAGGTTACTATTCTTTTTTTTTCTTCCATTCATTTATTTAGCTCATAAATAAAGTCATGCACAATTATGATACACAATACAATATGTTCACAATGGCATGGCTAAATTAAACCAATTAACATGTTGTATCACACATATTCATCATTTTTGTTTTGAGAACACTTATAGTATACTATCTCACAACTTTTAAAATATAGCATATTGTTATCAACCATATTTATCATGCTCTCAGTAGACCTCAGGACTTCACAAAGTCTATGCCTCTTGTCCAACTGCAGTTTTATATCCTTAAACCAATCGTTTCCCCATTGTAGAGGGAGAGGGTGTGTTGGGGGGGGAAGGAGGGAGAGAAAGAGAGGGAGAGAGAGAGAGAGAGAGAGAGAGAGAGAGAGAGAGCGCAATAATGGCAATATGTTATGCATCAATAGCAGCGACAGGTTAATATTCTATTAATTGATCCTTAAGGGAACTTCACACCTGGAGCATACCTTACACATCACTGATTGTCCTTTATAATTGGCAACCCAACTTCATGCTGTATTGGGAATGGAGATGAGGAGGGCCCAAACTTTGCTGACTATTTCTGTGCTAAATAATCTACATAATAGAAATAAACACAGTCTCTTATCTGTCATTCTTTTATTGTATTTATGTATTTTTAAATTGAACTCAATTCCAAATGGATCAGTGACCTCAATATAAGACCAGATACACTACATTTCATAGTAGAGAAAGCAGCGGATAGTTTTGAACTGATTAGCATAATAAAAGACTTTCTGGACAGAAGACCAACAGCATAGAAGCTAAGAACAAGAGTTAATAAGTGGGATCTCATTAAATGGAAAACTTCTGTATGGCAAAGGGAACCATTGTTCAGATTAAGCAGCAGGCAAGAGAATGGGAAAAGAATTTTATCAACTATACCTCCAATACAGGACTAATATCTAAAATGTATAAAGAACTAAAAAAGTTGACATCAGGAACACTATCCAATTATAAAATGGG